CATGGACATACCTCGATGCAGCCCTGGGTGCTGGAGCACCCGTGTGGAGACCCCTGCCAGCACTGAGATGCTTACACATTCACTGACTCAGCTTTGTGATGGTGGACCAGGGTGCAGTGCCTTAGCCAGTTCCCTGCTTCAGCTGGCAAGGCTCACTTTCTGCCAGACATCCCTGAGGAGAAGCCACATGGACCTACCTCGATGCAGCCCTGGGTGCTGGAGCAGCCATGTGGAGACCCCTGCCAGCACTGAGATGCTTACAATTTCACAGATTAGGCTTTCCGCCTGCTTTTGGTGTTATTGTGTGTGTTTTGCAAGTTTGAGGAGGAATTTGTAGATTGGTGGCAGACATATGGGTTAATGTCAGACTTGTGGGCTTGTACAGGACTGGGTTGGGATGCTTTCTGGGTTGGTTTTTTTTATATATATATAAAACTCTCTCTTATATACATATGAGTTTATGTGGATTTGTTTCTCTAGTCTACCCAGACTAACACAGATGCCATCAAGTAGATTCCAACCCATAGCGACCCTATGCACAACAGAATGAAACACTGCACACTTCTGTGTCATCCTTACAATTGTTTCTACACTTGAGCCCACTGTTGCAGCCACTGTGTCAAGAAGAGTATCAAAAAATAATGAGTAAGTAGGAAGGCCATGCTGAAGAAGTCTCTGGATGATATCTCAAGTTTGGGTGGACTTGTTAGCTTTATCATGGTGTGTGGGTTGGCCTGTTTGATGCAAATAAAGTGTCCCATCACTTTGAAATTGTCCCACCTTGAAAACACATCCAGCAGTTTTATACCCATCATAAGGCAATTCCTGTTATGACAGGTAGGCAGCATTCACAGTTGTAGTTCATTTTGCCCCAAATACAAAACCAAAAAAATGTGTAGCACTGTTGGTGGAAGGAAAATGATTCTTTGATGGCATATCTACTCTTCTCCCCTTTTTTGCATGCCAGTCATGATTACAGGAGACTGTAATCATGAGTCTGAAAACATCAATATCGTAAAACTTGCAGGAAATTAGTCACATCAAAGATATTTGTGTTGAACTAATTTCTTTGTTTCTTTCTTTCATCATTTCCTTCTCTTTCTGTCTTAATTTTGTTTCAGGTGAACACTTGCATGGCAAATTTGTTTTCCATTCAACAATTTATACACAATTTGTTTCCTGGAATTGCTTGCTATCCCTACATCGTTTTACTACTTCCCTCATTTCCACCTTGGCTTCAGCCTTTCAATCTCTCCCATTTCTCTATCCTTCTTTGACTCCTCATTTTTGCCTTTGGGCAAATGTTGCCTGTTTGGTCTCCTGTGGTTGGTTGTTCTAAGAAGCACACTCTTCATAGATATTATTATTTATTTTATAGGTTAGCCTAGTATTAGACTAAAAGATGACATCCTTGAGCAGAATCAATTCCAGATTTAAACTGTGTCTTTGGGTGGTCAGTTCAAAAAGTCTGGTCTTATTTTTTTTAATGAATTTAAAATTTCTTCTAAATTTTTGTTCCATTCTAACTGAGACCTTCTATTATGTCCAAACTAAAGGGGTCGCAGTGGAGCAGGTGAGCACCATCTAACTCCCTGGGCCTTAGGAAGCTGTGGTTTCTGTGGACCAGTAATCCTATGGACTAGTCATCCTGTGGATGAACTGCTTCTTTGGCCCTTGGGTTTCTTTCATTCTCCTTTGCTCCAGTCAGGAAGAGATTAATAGTTTCTTCTTAGACGATCTTTCACAAACTCTTAAGACCTCCAGATACAACTCACCAAGCCAGGATATAGAACATTATATTTATAAACTATACTAAACCGATCTATCTAAAGATAGTCTATAGACTGTAGATTTCAAATCCAGTAATTCAATCCTACAAAGTATTTAGATATGTCCTAGAATTTTTAATAAATTTCCTTCCTATGTACTCTAATATATATATGCAATATATACGAATATGTAACACAATAAATCAGTATATATTGCTATCAAATCATGAAGTTGCTTGTTGGCATTGAGATGAGTCCAAGAGAACAAAAGTACTACCAAGCCTTAAATCATCCTCATAATTGCTGGTATTTTTTAGTCCATTGTTGCAGCCACTGTATTGATCAATATCACAGAGTCTTCTTATCCCCTGACCCTGCGTTACCAAGATTGATATCATTTTCCAAAGACTGGGCTCTCCTGATAGCAAGCGTGAAATATGTAGGACAAGATCTCACTGGCCTCACTTCTCAGGAGCATTTGGACTATCCTTCCTGCACAGTTTCTTTATTCTTCTGGTCCCTCAGTATTCTTGGTCAATACCACAATTCAAATGAATCCTTTTTTTCTCTAGTCTTTCATATTGACTGCTCAGCTTTCAGATGAATATGAGGTAATTAAAAACCACATCTTGGGTCAAAGGCACCCCTCAAAATAGCCCCATAGTTACTGTTGTTTAACACTTTAAGGTGGATTTGTGCATCCAATTTCTTCAATACAATATGTTATTGGATTTCTTGACGGTTACTTCCATGAGAATTGATTGTGGATCCAAGTAAATGAAACATTTGACTTCTCAAAACTTTTCTCTCAACACCTGTCTGTCATTTTTCATATTGTGGTAGTTAGTGTGGTATAATTATTGTTGATTGGAACAAAAAAGTTGGCAAAAGAAGAAGGAACAACAGTTGGAAAATATGGCCTTGTTGATATAAACAAAACTGAAGATTTAATGGTGGACTTTTGCAAGCTCAGTGGCTTGTTCATAGGAAATAACTTTTTTCAATAACATAAAATAACATTCATATGATCTTCTACAGATGGAATACAAAAAAATAAAATTGACTACATGTCGGAAGAAACAATGGAGAAGCTCCATGTCTACAGCTGTGAAACACACCATCAAATGCTTATATGTAAGTTTGATTGTAGGCGAAGGAAGTTTTTAAAAGTCCACAGAGTCAAAATACAATCTACCTGAATTTTGAGGATATCTCAAGGTTTGACACATTGAACACTAATGACAAAAGACATGAAAAATTGGGGGATGATATCAAGAACAGCACCCAGGAAGAAAGCAAAATGTCATTTAAAAGATGGGAAAAAAGAAAAGATCAATGTGGTGTCTGAAGAGATTGAAACTTGCTCTCATGACAGAAATGGTGAAGTCAAAGAGCTTAATAGAAAAATTTAAAGAGTTGTTCAAGAAAACAAACTAAAATATTATGATGAAATGTGAAAAGACCTAGAGATAAAAATCCAAAGTGGAAACATAGACTCAGTACACCTTCAGTGAAAGAACTCAAAAAAGGCCGGAGTTTGAGTTGCAATCTTGAAAGATTACGCAGGCAAAATATTAAATGGTGCAGGAAGCATTAAAGATGGAAAGAATATGTGGAATCACTGTTCCAAAAAGAACTAGTCAACAACCCACCATTATAAGAGGTAGCCTCTGAACAAGAACAAATAGGAAGTTTAGGCTGCGCCAAAATCAAGATGCAGCAGCTAATGGAATACTACTTGAAATGTTTCAACAAGCTGATGAAGTGCTGTAGGCATTCCCTTGTCTATGCCAGGAAATTTGGAAGATGGCTACTGGGTCAACTGACTTGAAGAAACAATATTTGTACCCATTACAAAGTAAAGTAACCCCACAGAATGTTCCTTATAGAACAATATCGTTAATATCACATGCATGCAAAATTTTGCTGAAGATTATGGAACAAATTTTGGAGAAGTACGGTGGCAGGGAGCTGCCAGCCATTCCTTTCAATTCACAAAGAAATATATTGCTGGGATTTAGATAAAACCTGCATTAGTAATGACATTTTCACAATGTTCCATTTTCTACCCACAAACATGGCATGGTTTCCATTTGTGTAGACTTCTTTTAGCTTCTATTTGGTAGATTTCATGGTATATATCTTTTACATTCTGGTTTGATTTATTCTAGATATTTTATCCCTTCTGGGGATACTATAAACAGCATTGTTTTCATTTTCAAAGGTTTTTATGAAGAGGAATTCTACTGTTTTATTAATCTTGTATCCTACCACTTTGTACTCTACTACTTAGTTCTAGTAAGTTCCTGGTTTTCCCTGGTTTTGGCTGCTGACATTGACATGGTCTGTTTGGAAAACAACTATATGGCCAAGTGACTGGAAGAGATCCATATTTGTACTTATCTCAAGAACGGTGACTGAAGAGATTGCTCGAATTATAGCATGATATCATTAATATCACATGCAAATAAAAATTTGCTAACGAACATCAAACAGTGTTTTCAATATCACTTTGACAAGGAGCTGCCAGCAGTCCAGCTGGGTTCAGAAGAGGATGTGGAACAAAACATGCTAGTGTTGATGTCAGATGGAGTTTGCCCGAAAGCAGAGAATACCAGGAAGATGGCTACTTCTATTTTAGTGACTATGCTAAGGCATTCAACTCTGTGGATCATAATAAACTATGATTAGCCTTGAGAAATATCAATTGTGCTCATGCAGAAACTGCAGGATCACAGGGCATTTGTGGGAATGGAACAAGTGAATATTGCATGTTTTAAAATCAGGAGAGGTGTGCTCCACATTTTTATGTGGGTCAAATAACCAGAAAACCTGGATTATATGTAGAAAAGTGAGGAACCAAGAAAGGAGGAAGGCTTATTAATAACCTGTGATATGAAGTCTTGCTCACTGAAAATGAGGAGGACTTGAAGCACTTCCTGATGAAATTTAAAAATTGCAACCTTCAGTATGGATTACAATTCAGCATAAAGAAGACCAAAGTCCTCAAATTGGACCGGAGGTAACATAATGTTAAATTGAGAAAAGATTAAAATCACCCAAGATGTTGTCTCCTTTGGATCTACAATCAATTCTCATGGAGGCAGTAGTCAATAAATCACAAGGTACATTGCATTCTGTCAATCTGCAGCACATGTCTTCTTTAAAGTGTTGGTAAGTAGGGAGGTTACTTTAAGGTGGGCCTGACCCAGGCCATTCGATTTTCAATTGCCTCATAAGCATGTGAAAGTTGGACTTTGAATAAGGAAAACCCAGAAAAATCAAAGTATTTTGATCATGAGAAGAGTGAACAATATTGAAAGTACCATGGACTGCCAGAAGAACCAGCCACTCTGTCTTGGGTGGGCAACTGGGAGAGAGTGTGAAGGAAAACCAGTAGCACTGGGCACTTGGGGCAGTGGGTGAGAGTATGGCAGGGCATTCTCTACTGCTTACCAGGTGGGCGGCTGGGCGACAGGCAGGAAATGTTGAAACTCGGAGTATAAGAAATTCTCTGTCACTTGTGGGGGGAGAGGACAGGGTGATGGGCAGGCTGCGTGGTAAATAAGCAGGAATGTGGAATAATCATGGTCACTTGCCAGGTGTTTAGAGCAATGGGCCAGGGTCTGGCATGTGACTGGGAGTGCAGGGCACCCATTATCACTTACAAGTGAGCAGGTGACAGGACAGAGTATTTTAGGTGACCTGGAGAACAGTGTGCTCTCTCCTGCTTGCTAGGTGATTGTGGGTATTGTCGAAAAATTAGTGGCACAGGAGTGTCTACTGTTACTTCCTGATTAGGCAGGAGGGTGTAGACAGACTAGGTAGCATGAAGGGGAAAAGGCACTTTTGTACAACAGTCTCTGAAAGGATATGGAAGCAAATGTTGTGTGTGCTCATGTTAGTAATCACCATGCGGGAGCAGACAGTCATGGGTGCCTAGGGAGTACAGTTAGCTGAAGGCAGCAATTCGGACCTAACTCTGGCTAAGGAAGAGGATTGGGGGAGCTGATCCTAGTCTGCTCAGGTAGGGGACCTCCTGCTGATACTCTGAATCTATGACTTCATGTTTGCCACTCTCTCTCAGGTGCAGGAACCACCTCTGGATTCCGGCTTTCTGAATGTTAATGAATATGAGGATAGATGAAGATTTCATCCTTTGTCCTACTATTTTCTCCTTGAAATAAATATTCTCAAATTTCATTTTCCTAAAAATATCTATTTCATCATATTTTTGGAGCATAATTTTACTGCACATGGAATCACATATTAGATGATAGATATGTTGATATTACATCTAAGTGATAGATATTGTTGATATATTGTTGGTATATTTTCTTCTAGGGTTTTACTGTCACCATTCCATTTCCTTCTGTTCTTCTTCTTTTATTTTTTTGGTAGCTGCTTTCAAGAATTGCTGTTTATCTTTGAATTTTCTAGTGTAAGATACACCAAAATATAGTTTTCTTTGAATTTCCTTTCTTTTTGGAACTATGTGTCAAATTTTATTTTTAGCCATCATCTTTCAAAAATATGTTAGAGTATAAATATACTCGATTTATTTTGGCACTCATACATCTATATGGAAAACTTCAAAAAATAATTGAAAATATATTTAAACGATCATGGATTTTTTTTCCATGAACTTTTTGAAGGTGCCTTACATATTATTAACTTGTTAACATTCTCCCATAAATCCCAGAGTGCTATTAAATTTTTTTACATCTTTAAAAAATAAGATTGCTCTTGAAATTGTATATGTGTTGAGCTACTTACCTGATTCCCCTTTAATTGGTGGGATTTAATGTCTAAACTTTATCTACTTTAAGAATCTTGTTAGGGCTTGGGTTTAACTTTTGTTAATGTGGATCGAGAGGCCTTTCCCTTAGATGTGGTCTTATTCAAAAAGCAGTGTTTCAACTGGGTCCCCCTGGTGTGAGAGGAAGATGTTGCTGGACCATAAATTTAAATCCTCTAATGCTACTTCCTGTCTGATAGCTCTGCTCCACTCTCAAAGCAGTCGTAGTTCCTCTCTGGCAAGCCTTAGGAAGCTGTACTCATTATCTTGTAGTTAGTTGTACAACCCAATCTTCAACAAAGTCTTGGGTTTTTTTTAATTTCAAAGCTTTCTCCTTGTAGTGTTGTGTCCAACAGATTCAAACCATGTTAAATATCTAGAACACTGATCGCCGTCTCATCAGGTAAACTAAACCTATGGCTGCTGAGTTAATTATAGCTCAAGATGAGCCCATGTATAACAAAGCAGAACTGCTTCATAGAATTCTCTTGGCTGTAGTCTTTATGTAAACAGGTCAGCAGCCCTTTCTTCCATAGCCCCAGCTTGGTTTTAAACCAGCCAAGGTAATTTTAAGTTAGTCAATCCTTACTTGTCAAAAAGCATGTGAGAAATAATTGTTTTTTTTTTGTGCTATGCCACTGAGATATTTAATGTTTTTGTTATGCAACATTATTCTAACAATAATTCATTGAAACAGTAAGTTAGAATCAAATCATGGAAACCCTTAATTAGGAGAAAAGAATACACCATGTAATGGCCCACTTGCTCAGCTAGACTGCTTGGGTTAAATGTTCAATTATATTGGTATTTTTGTTGTAAATTTAAAAATGTATTTATGGAGATATGTCACATGCATAAAACTCATCCATTGAAAGGATTGATTAGATGATTTTGAATATATTTGCAGATAGGGATAGCCATCACCAAAGTTAATAATAGAGCATTAACTTTTTAAAGTTATGATAAACATATACTGAGGAAATGGTATGGGAGCTGCATTTGACCTCCTCTGGCTTCACTAGGGTAAAGATATTCTAAGTCCATATCTCCCAAAGATGATTCCTATGAGACAGAGATCAGACGTGCCTCTACCCTTTCACACCCTTTACCAAATTCTGACAGCAGCTGTCTCTTCCAGGGTACTGTACTTTTCTGCTGGATTTGATCATCCACTCCAATGGCCACTATGAAAGTTAGAATGATTTTATAGCAACTTGAATTTTTATGAAAGGGTAGGGTAGAGACCAACCTATCAATCAGGTCACAGCCTGATTGGTACCTCTTTGGAGGTGTAGCCTTCTTGTAAATGGAAAACTGGAAATGTCTCCGTTTCTTTGTGACTTCATTCACCTTTCTGCTTTCTGGGACTCTGCCACTAACACTGAGAGCTGTGGGTGCCCTGTCATGTCTCCACGAACTTTGGATCTATAAGACTGTACCCACCAGCCTGCGATCTTCTTGCTTTCTGGTTTATCCTCCTGCATTAGGGGCATGCTGGTACATGAGTCAGAAGAGTGATTTCTGGATTAGCATTGGACTTATAGTCTTGAGTTTGACTGGGCTGGGATGACTTCTTGATATATAATTATTTCTTGATGTAAAGATCTTTCTTATATGGAGATGACTGTCACTGGATTTGTTTCTCTACCAGGGGTCCTCAAACTATGGCCCGCAGGCCACATGCGGCCCACAGAGGACATTTATCTGGCCTGCCAGGTGGTTTTGCCCCGTTTGTTTTTTACTTCGAAATAAGATATGTGCAGTGTGCATAGGAATTTGTTCACAGTTTGTTTTTTTTTTAAACTATAGTCCGGCCCACCAGCGGGTCTGAGAGACAGTGAATTGGCCCCCTGTTTAAAAAGTTTGAGGACCCCTATGTCTAGAACAATCCAGGCTAACACAGTTACTACAGAACCCACAGGTAATACAATTATAGGGGTTTATTAGGGGAGTTAACAGGTTACAAGTTATGTTCAGAAACATTAAGGATACAGTTATTTTGTCTGCAGTGCTCTTCTCACCCATGCTGGCAGATTTATCTTTCTCTCTGGCTCTTCGTCTTGCAGTCACGTGGTCCTTGACTTCTCCCCTGATCAGGCAATATTATAAAACTCCGTTAATTCTGATAAATGCTCAATAGGTATCCCACTCTGCAAACAGCCTCCTGCCCAATGGCACTGTTTTCTTTAGTATTTCTTGGGTCTTGAAAACTGCTGCTCTGTGTACAACC